GTAGTCGATGCGTGGAAATCGATCGAAAATGACGACGAGGATCACTCGCCAGCATTTCAAAATCCCACAACGACTTCATCACCCACTCTCGCTTGGCTATAGTTGTTTGTACTCGTTCCCAGAGCTGTACAGCTGTCGGAAATTGATCAAAGTGGTCGGCATGCGTGTACTTGAGTACCAAATCTAGTTTGGCTTTGGGTGGTAGTTGAAGCTCGTTTAGAACGGAATCCATGCGTCGTTGAAGATCTGCACGTAGCGGTAGTGGCGCTTGACTCTGGCTTTGATTTAACTCAGCTGTATTAGATTCAGAGCGATTACCCGATCGCGGTCGACCAGACTGGGGTCGACTATTTGGCGAGGTTGCAGCTGAAGTGTCTGCAAAATGTTTCTGGATAAGAACGTGCTGTGCAGTCTCTTTGTCTAGCAGCTTGCTGTGTCTCGCCATAGTCGCAGTAGACTGCCTGATCAACAGAGAATTCAACGCTGACCTGCGAGCTCTTGTGACTGCGGCTGCTCTTTCGTCTTCCACGTCGTTTTTGGATGGTGAAGTGGACGATGTTTCTCCATCAAATTCACTTGTCTCCGCCACGACGTCCTCCACTTTGTCGGATAACCTAGTGATGTTTTTGTCCGTGGTCGAGACGCTCTCTTTGCTACTTTTCTATTTGGATTTCCGCACTGGGGAGCTCCTTGCTGTAGACTTGATTGGGGATTTTGAAGGTAACGGTAGGGTCAGATCCTCTTTTGGTGGCGACGGTGCTGTGGAGCGATTATTTAGTTGCGAAGCGAGTGAATTATGACCATGTACCAAGGAACAAGCTTCGGACACACTGCCTTCAACGTTGGTGACATCGTTTTCTGAAGAACGTTTCCACTTTTCAGCTTCTTCCTCCTCGACCCACCAGGTTGTCTCGGATGCAGTGGTAATAGTGTCTGCAGCTGGTGTTGCATCCGCGTGTTCGTTGCTAGGCTTTCGTTCAGGACTTTGTTGAACCATTTGATCGGAAGGAGCGCTCGAAGCAAATCGTGCTCTCTTGACTGAACGTCGAGCACTGAGACCCCGATAATACTCTCGCAGCTGATCGGCAGTATCTGTAGATGGACCGGTTGCACCTGGTTCTTCAGTTGCGGGACTATCTTGTTGTGGCTCGCTAGCAGACTCGCGATGTTCATCCATTTCGCCCGACGCTGAATTGTAGCTTGGATAGTATTCGTGCCGCGACCATGATTCTTTTCGTGGGGATCGTAAGGAAGCTGAATACTGCAACAACACTGTGTCGTCCTCTTCCGATGATGCCGACGAAATCTCATCCATCGCCCTTTGAAAAGCTTCTAGCGCAGCTGCTCGCTGCTCAGCCTCGAGACCTGCTCGATAATCCCGGAGCTTTTCGTCTCGAACTTCATGCCACCGGGTAATGTTGGCCTCCATCGCAGCAAATGGAGCAGCTGTCGATGGTCGACGTCCAGTCAAGGAGTTTCTAACTGATCTGGCAAGACGTTTAGCGATCACTGCTGGGGATGAAGATGGTCTCCGTGGTTGTAATAGACTGGCAGTCGAAGTCGGAACAGCTTTCCCACCATTGAAAAACCGAT